CTGAAGACAGCCTTTTTTTTTTTTTTTTGTAGAGACAGAGTCTCACTTTATCGCCCTGGGTAGAGTGCCATGGCGTCACACAGCTCACAGCAACCTCCAGCTCCTGGGCTTAGGTGATCCTCTTGCCTCAGCCTCCCGAGTAGCTGGGATAATAGGCACCCACAACAACACCCAGCTATTTTTTTGTTACAGTTTAGCTGTGGCCGGGTTTGAATCCACTACCCTTGGTATATGGGGCCAGCGCCCTGCCCACTGAGCCACAGGCGCTGCCCCTGAAGACAGCTTTTTAATATTTGACAATTTTAATATAAGACGAAATATTCATATATCTTTTTGTTTTTATTATTTTATTCTATTTATTAGTGACTAGAATTTTTTGAGAGATAGAAAAAGAAGAAAGTGCAAAATTTATAAATAAATGAAACATCTGAATGGAATAAATCCATTCTAGCACAGTCACCACCAAGTGAGTTCTACATCCCCACACGTGCACTCAGCAGGCAGCCAGAGGAAGAAGGTTCTGGTCTGCTCCTGGCCCAAGGGTCTCTTGGGTATACCGTCTGCTGGTGACTCTGTCTCCGCAGGGATTTCACTCTCTGAGCAGGAAGACACCTCGCAGGATAATTTCACAAAACTATCAAGAATTTCTCTCTACATCAGTCTGCTACTTCCGTTTTCTTAGATATAAAGGATATTTATAGAAACCTGAAGTTTCATCATAGATTTAGAAAATTTACTTCCCCTCTTTCACCTTATATTTCCATTTATACACATTTTAGTAATAGACATTTTAATAATTATAATGCTAAATATTACAGCATACAGCTAATGAAAGTAAATACTCAGTGTTAATAGATTTTCAAAGACAAATACCTCTATTGTCTAGCAAAAAGTATACCTAAATTTTTTGCAGTTTTTCTTCATCATTCTCACCTTTCAGGGAAATAAGACATCCCAGTAACTTTGCCTCAAAATTATTAGGTAACTCAAAATAGTCATTTGTCTCAGTGATTGATTTCCAATAGTAGTCTAATGTTAAGTTTTTAATTCAATTATACTACTTGGCTGCTAGATAAAAATCTTATTTTCAATTTCTACTTTAAAATTTTTTTTTGCCTGTTACATAGTCAATATCATATGACATTAGCAAAAATTATATACATCACAACAATTTTACATATAATTAGAAATGCTGGCAACCTTCTAATTGTATTCATTTATTAAAATAATCTATACAGCAGAAGTAAGCCACAGAATCCCTCTACCAGATAACCTGAAACCTCACATAAACTTTAATATGAAAAATTTTTTAAGTTCAAGACTCTGGCTACATACAAACAACAATGAAAACAAAAATTTTCCTCATTTATTGCAACTTAAAATTCTTTATGCCAAAATTTATTTAAAATAATACACCTAAGTTTTGAAATTTATTAATATTAACTTTAAAAGTCAAAACTCTCCTATTAAATATTGCTGAATTTTTTTTTAGGGTGAGCAACTGAAGAATGAACTATGTATTCAGATATTACTGCATTCAAGTCAATAGATGCTGATTTGAACATAGAGAGAAAAAAAAAACAGGAAAAATCATCGAGTAAATGAGATACTCTTAAAATTGTCCATTTTCATGTCCACTAAAATTTAACTGTCCGTTAAAAAGGAACTGTTCATTTTAATTTGTAGAATTTTCAGAATGTTTTCCATGTTGTGTATTCCAAATGCATAAAACTCCTGCAAATAACACTGCCCATTTATTATTTTGGCTTGTCAATTCTGAAATCAATTTTTAAAAATCTATCAAAAATAAAGTAGCAGTGGCAACAGCCAAACATACCCCACTTGACACTAAAGCCATGAGCTGTAACTGGTCCTTTAATTAGGGGTCTGGTAGGAGGTCCAGGCCTGTCAGGGCTTGTTGTACAAACCAAAACTTCACTCGGACAGCTTTTCCCTTCCATATTAGAAGCAGTCAGCTACAACACAACCGAGAAAACGTTAGCATGCTTTAGTATTTCTCAATCAGTGGTGACTTTTTAACAAGGCATGATCAAGGCATCCATAACTCAGACAAACACACGTTTTTTCCTCTCTAAACTCACGTATTGATTTCACAGTATTTATTTTTTATATTACTTATTTTATGTTGGATATTAACAATTAAGACTCAATAAAGCCAGTATGTCATCACCTAGTTCATATTATTTTGTAGATGGTAAATACAGATGGGAAGGCAGAAAAAATTAGCTCCCTTGCCTAAGAGAAGGGCAACGCCACCTTGTGGAGAGATGCTGGCAGTGCCGCGGTGTTCTCGGAACCTATTTCCTCAAGTCCTCACACGTGCCACTTGCTCAGTGACTACTCTGTGGCAAATGACACCATTTGGTCCCCAATTAGAGGAGGAAGAGTGGAGTCAGAAGAAAACCCTCTCTCTAAAATGGACTTGTCACAGTGGGAAACATGGTGGCATGCGCGAATTTACTAAACAGGGCTGCAGCACAGAATGATCACAAAGTTGTGGTCTCTTTTTTGGCTATAACACAAAGTCCCTTGGTAACATTAATAGTGGCTGTTAATGACCAAAAACAGCCTAAGTGGGGAGAGGGCGGGTAACGGAAGAGAATAACAACAACTGAGGAAAAAGAAATGGGCAGAAGAGAAAGGAAAATGAAGAGCAAAAAAGAAACGTGACTGAAGGAGAAAGGTGGGTGAGAAGAGCGTGCTGGGCGGCGGAGTGACTGGAGCACCAGCATCTGGGTTGTGTCTGCCCAGGCCAGGGCACTGCCCATGCAGGAATGCAATTTATTATAATGCATCAGGGCAGTTTTCTCTCTCAAAAGTGAATTTTAAAATTAAAGCATGGTGTGCATTTTATAAATCTTATTTTAGAAGTATGCAGTGCTATTCTTGGGTGTAATGTGGAAGCCGCTATGACAAATGAAGTATCCCAGTGGGAAGTGGGAATGTGTGGTGGGTACACCTGGTTGCACAGAGTGGGGGGAGAGAGCTGAGACTCAGAAAGCGCAAGGCAAGGAATGAAAAACTACCTGCTGCGTACAATGTACGCAGTTCCAGTGGTAGGTATCCTAAAAGCCCTGACTTTACCACTGTACAATTCATCCATGTAACAAAAAACATTTGTAACTCTGACATCTGCAAAAATAAATTTAAAAAATTTTTTAAGCTGACCAAAAAAAAAAAATGTGTTGTGAACTTCAACTATCTTTTAACCTGTATACTCATTTGAAGTGGTAAATCCTGAAACATAAAACAGCTTCATTTTTAAGCAGTACAGGTACCAAAAGGACTGACTCACCCTGAACTTATACTGTGTGCTTCTTTTGAGATTTTTCACAGTACAGGTTAAATCCTCTCCAGTGTATTTTGGGTGGAAAAGATTATCCTGAAAAGGCAAAGCCAAGAAAGAAACATCAGTTTCAAGAAATCTGGGCATTATATATATACCTTGTATACAGGATTTTTTGTGGTCTCTTCCTAGCACCACCAGTGGTGGGGTTTGGTGGCTACTGCAAAGAAGAGCATCTGATGCCCTTGGAGCCGTGCACAGCACTGGAGCCTTACATGGAAATCTCGCTCTATCATGGTATAGTTTCTCTTGGGTGTGGTCAACTTTATTGTGACAAAGAAGTACATTTTGAAATTTAACAATGTTGTTGTGAAAAAAGCCTCTTGTGTTGAGGTCTTCATAGTCAAACTGCAGTACGCTGTGTAAGAAACTCCGGCTGAGGTTGCTGAGGACAAAGGGCATGCTCCTTTAAGAGCACCAGTCCACTGCAAGCTGAACACAGGCACTCACAGGATCCTCCATGGCCATCACTCACCAGACACCACCTTCTCGGCACCAGGTTGGCTCTAACCACTCAGCACCACCCCAGGGCACACAGGCTCACACCTAGCCAGAGGGGGCAGCTAAAAACAAACCTTCAAGTACATACAAAGCATGTCATGTGGGTTTGGTGCTGTAACAAACACTGAAGCTGGGACAGAGGACAGGTGGTGGTGCTAGAGGGATGATGCCGTCCAGGCTGAACACAGTAGCCACATGTATGGTTCTCTGGGTTTAAATCTATTAAATTAAAAATTCAGTAATCCTAGTACTCTGGGAGGCTAAGAAGGGTAGATCGCCTGAGCTCAGGAATTTGAGACCAGCCTGACTGAGCAAGAGTGAGACCCTGTCTCTAAAAGTGGCTGGACATTGTGGTGGGCACCAGTAGTCCCTGCTAGCTGGGAGGCTGAGGCAAGAGAATCAGTTGAGCCCAGGAGTTTGAGATTGCTGTGAGCTATCACACCATGGCACTCTACCAAGGGGGGCAGAGTGAGACTAAAATAAAAAATAAAAACTCAGCTCTGCCAGACCACAAGCGGCATTTCTGATGCTCGGCAGCCACGTGCCCAGGTGCTGCCTTAATGGAGCACAGGCTGCTCACTTCTGTCTCTGCAAAATGTTCTACCAGACAGCGCTATTCCATGGAGTGGTCAGCCAAGAGCTATTTAGAGATAGTTCCCCTTCCCTGGGGAACTGAGGGAAATGAGGGAGTGGGATGTCTAGAAGGGCATCCTAGGCAGAGGGCACAGGAATTGCAGGGTCCTGGAGGCCAGAGCAACTGGTGTGTTCAGGCAGCACCCCAAGGCTGGCAGGCTGACAGTGGAAGGACTCTGCACACGGACCCTGTGGGCGCTGTGAGCCCTGGGAGGGAGGAAAGCCGCCAAGGCAGAAAGGTTCTAGAAGACCACTGACAGGATCTTTCTGTATTTTGCAGGGTGGCTCAGGTTTTGTGTGGAGAACAGACGGTAGCACCCTAAGTGTGAAGTTGGGTATAATACTAGAAGGCCACTGTAATGATCCAGGGATGAGATGAAGGCCTGTGAATGGCAGTAGCTGTGCACATGAAGAACAGCTGGACACCTATGTGACTACTAAAGGACACTTACAGGGACTTGCTGACTGCCTGTGCACAGGGTCAGGGCCAACTACAGGGATTCTGGCTTCCCCAGCTGGGAGGAAGAGGGTGCCATTGGCGGAGATGGCATTGTTGGCTGCTGTTGGGAAGGAGGTGGAGGAGTGGTGGAAGCTGAGAGTTTTGTTCTGAATTATATAGCTGACCTAATTCACAGTGCCCTGCAGCTGTAACATGCAAAATACACGAGGGTGTAAAATCTGCGAAACTTACATTTTCATCCTCCTGAATTTCCAAGGTGTAGGTGATAACTTCCTCGGGGGAGCAACCCTCCGGCTTACCCCACTGTAATGTGACCCATGTGATACCGGCTCGAACCAGTCTGGGCGCAGAGGGCGTCTGTGGGATGGTGCCCAGTGTGTAGCACACCACCTCCTGGCTGTAGCCGCTGTAGAGAGGGGTTCAGAGAGACACGTGTTAGGAGCACATGGGAGGGCATGGCCACAAGACACGGCTCAGTGAGCAACAGCGGGCGAGGCCTCCTGCAATCACATCTCCACCCCCAGCCTGCCCCCACCTCTGTCTGCTGCTGGACAAGCTCTCCGCGTTGTGGGACAACATGTGCTTGCCCTCCCTATCTATGGGATCCCCATCTGGGGATTCAACCAATACTTTCCAATGTCGAAAATATTTGGAAAAATTCCACAAAGTTAAAGAAATCGAACCTTGAATTTGCCACGCATTGAGCCCCGGAATGGGTGTGCATATGCAGTGTCACGCCGGTGGGTATAGTGTCACTGGAGCTGGTTAAAATACCCAGGACAAGTTGGGGGCGGGGCTCACACCTGCAATCCCCACACTCTGGGAGCCAAGATGGGAGGGTCACCTGAGCTTAGGAGTTCAAGACCAGCCTGAGCAAGAGCAAGACCTTGTCTCTACTAAAAAATAGAAAAACTAGCCAGGTATTGTGATGGGCACCTACAGTCCTAGCTGCTCTGGAGGCTGAGTCAAGAGGATTGCTTGAGCCTAGGAGTTTGAAGTTGCTGTGAGCTATGATACCCTCTAGCCTGGACAACAGAGTGAGATTCTGTCTCAAAAATAAATAAATAAATGAACACACACACACACACACACACACACACACACACCCCCCGCATATCTCTCTCTCCATCTCCAGGAAGATATGCCTGCGGTGTATGCAAACACTATACTGTTTACATAGGTGACTTGACTGCCTGCAGATCTGGGTACCCAAGGGGGAGCAGGGAGGGAGGTGTGTCCTAGAAGCAATCCCCACAGACACTGGGGGGTATCTGACCTTAACGGTTTATTTTCCCCCCAAAAGCACTGAACAGAAAGTATGGCGCCATGCAATGTTCATTAAGCTATGACCAATAGCTACCAATAATTCTTCAAATCAATGTCAGCACTAATATTTGGCTGTTGATGAAATAAATGTTTTTTTACAAACATATAAGTACTGTTTTAAAAAGTCTATCGATGTTCAAACTCATTTAAAAATTCGTGCACCATAGAAGCCTTTATCATTACAACTTCTTCAATTAGTGAACTCTGGGGGGGAGAGTTCCAACTTGGGATTCTCCAAGAGGGAGCTCTGACTGGAGGGTTGAGGCCTCCCTGGCGAGGACTGCTGGGGTGGCCCCTCTGCAGTCTGGCAGCACATTGCAGACACACTGGGGTTTCAAGAGCCAAGATGAAGGTAGCAGTAGCAGGTTTTAAAAAGGAATTTCCTTGGAGCTTTACACTTCCAGATCATGTGCCTTTTTATTTCATCACCTTATTTAACAAGCTCTTCATTCTGTTGCCTTTTTTCCAATTATGTGTTTCCTGATACAAAGAAAAGGGTACTGGGCCGACCATTGTTGTTGAGCCCAGGGAAGATGCTCTTAGAACTGGGAAATCAAGGTCTTTATGGAAGACCTTTATGGAAGGCTGCTGTCTGGGTTAGGCTGCGGCAGCAAGGTGGGAACAGGTGTACTTGCTGGGCTCAGTTGATCAAAGAGGCTCATAAAAGGCTGTGCTTGAATTGCTGAGAACTCTTGATCAATGGAAAAATGTATTTTTTTTCATCACTGCTTGCTGAAAATCTTCTTAAAAGGAGTGGCCCATCCAAGATGCCCAACCTTCTTTTCAGCCTAAATGGCCTCTTTATAACTTCACAAAGTGTTACCAACCTGCCTCCTCCACCCCTGAGAGCCATTAGGGTTTCAGAGTTCACTAATTGGTGTGGAGGCACCTTCCTTGTGACTTCCAGCAACACAGGGGCAGGCTCAGAATCCTACCCCTCCAAGGTTGAAGGGTGAGAGGACAGGGAGGCGCGATACCTGGTGCCGACGTCGTTCCGTGCAGCTAGCCTGAACGTGTACCCCATTGCTGGACAGAGCTTTGTCAGCTTGCAATGCTTCTGGCTTCCGAAGAAGCACTGTCTGAAACCACCGTTTCTTTTTCCCTAAAAGAAAACAATGAAACAATTTATATACATTAAAAAAAAAAAATGACCATAAGAAAATGAAGGGGCATTGTGACTTTTTAAATTTCCTACTTTGGGCGGTGCCTGTGGCTCAAAGGAGTAGGGTGCCGGCCCCATATACTGGAGGTGGCGGGTTCAAACCCAGCCCTGGCCAAAAACAAACAAACAAACAAATAAAAAAAAAAAAACCCTGTAAATTTCCTAGTTTATACAAATAAATCAACAGAAGGTGAACTCACAGGAAGTGTCTGGGTTGAGCATAAAGCTCTGGATGATGAAATGTCATTTTTTTTTCTTTGTTGTCCTCTGTAGAGTGCTGTAGTGTCACAGCTCACAGCAACTGCTAACTCTTGGGCTTGAGCAATTCTTTTGCCTCAGTCTCCCAAGTAGCTGGGACAATAGGTGCCCACCACAACTCATGGCTATTTTTTATAGATGGGGTCTAGCCCTGGCTCAGGCTGCTCTCGAACTCATGAGCTCAGGCAATCCACCTGCCTTGGCCTCCCAAAGTGCTGGGATTACAGGCGTGAGTCACTGCACCCAGTCTGAAATCTCATCTTTAACATAAGGCTCTACAGAAAATTCTGCATCCGAGACAGGGAATTCACTGGACTTGTGGTATTTCTAAAGTTGTTTTGGTTAACAAAGTAAAAAAGGTCCTTTCAGGCACAAGGTAATGCTCCAGTTAAAGACTGTAACTTCAAAAGTCCTCTTTCTCACTTGGGTTGGTCAACACTGCCCTATCTAATCAACCAGAGTCTGCAAGCAGCCACAGGCCACTGGCTCTACACTGCACAGCTACTCACAGCAACCCTCGGCGCCAAGGGCTGGTTTGTGCAGCTACTTGGCCACACAACCCTTTCCAGCTGTGCTTCTCTGGCTGTGCAGCAGCCCCCATGTCCCTCATAGCACTCACTCTGCAGTGGTGCTGAGCTGTTTGTTCAGTGACCCCTGAAGACTGGTCACAAGCCTTTGACTCATCTTGTCCACATCTGCTTTCCTGCTAACTGGATTTAGACAGTCCCAGAGCTCAGTCAAAGATTATAGGCTGAACGTCCGATGAGCAGGTGGTACACTGCTGAACATGCCTATGTCTATCTCACAAGACTCTAAGTTTCTTATTAGGGTAGAAATGTATTTTTAATGCCTTCTTAGCCTGACACGATAATTTAAATATCTTAAAGTAAAAATAAAACACTTTAGTGGGTGTCTTTAATAGACCCATGTATGAAGAGGAAACCTATCCACCTTATCACATGCTCAGTGGCGTGTGCGCACTTGTTGGGGCTTAAAAAGTTTCCTAGCCATGCCCCACGCCCACCCAAGAGAAACTGCAGGTGAGTGCTGACGAATGCAGCATGCCAGTCAGGCCGTCTAGCCCAGGGCCTTCAGGACTATGTCTGAGGTTCCATTTATTTTATAAAGAATAAAGCAAGCACATTTTTTCCCCTAAGCAAATTTCCTTTAAACAGGCCTCCAAGTACCACATTCCAAGAAGTTTAATTAAAAATAAAACAAATACACAACTAGCCTGAATGTTGTTAGGATGGGCAGATTAAAACCACCACACCACGGTTCACTCTCCATTGACCCTTCCCTACCCCACTGCCCCAAGCAAAGTGGTTCCTTGGAAGGGATCAAAGTTTTAATGGTCTTCAAGACTAAAAGCTCCTTTCATAGGGGCTGAAAGTACATTTGGGTGTAAGAAAGCAGGCTGGGAGGTGGTGAGGCACACACCTGCAGGCTGTTTGAGTAAAGTCGCTGTGGTTGGCACCTGACAGCACACACCGACTCTGACAATTCACTCTTGTGCGCACATCTGCACGATTATATCCAGGTCACAGACACACTCTGCAAACCCCAGAGTGTTTTGTCTCCATTTCTGGGACTCGCACGATCTACCTTCTTTCCTCCTCTGTTTCTCAACTCAGAATAAACAGTAGGAGAAAGGCATGTCGGGGCAGAAGCTCTCACCCCTTCCAAATCTGACGCTGGCTCCTTCAATGCCGCGCCTCTGCGTATTTCCTGCTTGGTTACCTTTGCCCATTTCTGGTGCTTAGAACTACAGTCAGGAAATGAAAGTTGGTCTGCTCTTCACTAGGCTGACCTGTCTCGAGATGGCAGGAACCAGACTAGAACTTACTGAGAAAAGCGGGAGGCTTTGATGGCGGGAGCCAGACTTTTCTCTTAAAAGGGCCATAACACCTTAAAAGGGCTCACTAAAGAATTGGGGAGATAGCGCCACGGATGGGATCTCTGGGAAATTTTCCTATAGAGCTAACATTTCAAAAATTCTTTCTACTTCAGTATCAGGAACAACTGCTAAATCGATGCCTACCTGTTTAGACAAAGCATGACAAATATCCCCCTGGAGACAGTACCACCATGTGCGTGGAACTTAGGACCCTGCAGACAAACCCAGCATTGTGCGAACCTGGGATCATGCTTTAGAAGTTATGTCTCAGAAGTCGACAGGCCTAAGAGTGCACACAGTAATATTCTACACAGTTAAAGAATTAGAGCTTAGTGAATTTTTAGAAGTTAGTGAGTAACGCAAAAGAAAGGAAAGTAGATAAAATATTTCAAACATGAGAGAAGCTTCAGAATAAACAATATACTCATAGATCACATGGGGTTTAACATAAAAAGGATATCTGGAAAGAAAAGAGTTAATATCCAGAAAAGTGACTGCAGTACAACAGTGATCTACAGCCGAGCAGCCATGTCGGCCCTGGCCGCGGGGACGCATCCGCACATGCCCCGCGCTGGGTGTCCCTGCCAGGGCGGTAGCTCTGGGCAGGAGCGCTGCAGTGAGGATGTGTTCCAAGGTGCAGAAGTTTAGAGAATCTCTTTGTAAACCAAGGGGTATGCCAGACTGCACACAGCATTTATAAATAAAATACTGGCCAGTTCTTGATGACAGAAAGGGACAGGATAAAAAGAGCTAATGCTTTAGTAGACTGAAAGATCCATGTAGGCTGACAGGAGTGGGAATGTGAATGTTTATCACCGTTTATCAGAAATTAAATACATCCAAACTGTTACCATTGGCAAGGCTTCACAGAAAGTAAATCAGTGTTCACGTCTGACAGGCAGGGCAGCTCCATGTGGTTCTGAGATTATGATCTACAGCCAGCTGTTCCCTCTTTTAGTAAAACCTAATTTAAACTACACAGGATTACTGAGATGCTAGCTATACACGGGACACTCGCTTTTCAATATTTTAAAGTCAGCCTTGTGCAAAGTTGCATACTAGAAGATGGTCCTAATGGAAATAGGTAATATCCTGATCCTTTTTTTTTGCAGTTTTTGGCTGGGTTTATGTTTGAACCTGCCACCTCCAGCATGTGGAGCCAGCGCCCTACTCCTTTGAGCCACAGGTGCCACCCTATCCTGATAGTTTTTAGGCCAGCTGTCATTGATAATCTGGTCAAATACAGGCAGCAGGGAGAGCCGTAGCCTGGGCCTTGGGCCACTCATGTGTCAAGTGGATGAGAGGACATGCTTTCAAAACGTGGCCAGGGGATGGAAAGTGGCTGTCCACAGGAAAGAGTGGAGACAGACTCCCAGGAGCACCCCATCCAGTGCCTGGCAGGCAGGTGTGCAGTGAGGGGGCCAGCGAGTACTGGAGTCCCTGCTCTCAGTGGGGAAAGAGGAGGCCTCACCCCAGGCAAAGGAACAGTGAGAGGAGGCACACAGCCACAGCACTGCCCGCACAGGCACACAGCTGCCTGTTCGGAGCCAGCCTGGCCGCTAGGCCACTGACCTCACCTGACATGAACTGTGCGCCTCGGCCATGCTCTTCATGCTGTCTGCTGCCAGCATCAGAGCCAGGAGAGGGCAGGTTTCAGGGTTTACTGGCTGGTTTCCATTGTATAATCTTGGGCATGCCCGAGCACTTGTTTTTTACAGTTCAGGCTGAGTTCATTCAAGGGCAAGGTTAATCTTTACTAGAACGTAAAGAAATCTTGGAGTATGAACCAACTCTGCACAGAGAAACCTCCAGGTGCTCGGTCTGGCTAGGCTGTTGCGCTGCAGACCTGGGGTTTTCTCTTTCAGGCTAAGTGTTCCTCTTCTCAGCTGCCCAGCCTTGCAGTTGTCACTAACCCCTTGTCACTCCAGCTCACACTGGCCGAGAGTACCAGTTCATCAACCTGGGGAAAGGTTTCCTGCATGCCTGGCCTTAGGCCCGGGGTGCTTGTCCACCACTTCTGGTCAACACTGCTCTCTAGGAAAGGCCTTGACCTGCCAGCAAGTTGGCTCCTGCTCACAGCACACATGAGATCAATCCTGCCTCATCCTGAGCTCCTAGCCTGCCTCCATCCCCACTTCTTGTCACTGAAAGGAACCACACTGTGTATTACCCACCTCCTGCACACCACTGGGTGACTGACTCCCTCCAGGGCGTCTTGGACACCCTGATCTCCTGATGTCAGGGAAGCTCAATTTACCAAGAGTCCGCCCGGACATTTCATTTGTTTGAAACTTGGCACACAATACTTCTTTTCATTTCTAGATTCACACCATCTTTGGGAGAAAGTCACTGCTTTAGAAGACACAGGGCACCACCTGCTCTGCCAGCACCTGTTCCCTCAGCTCCCTCTGCACTTTTTAGAGGGTCATGCGTTTCGTTACAAGTCTGGAAAATATTGAGAGTCCACATGTTGCAGGTTCTGTAATTCCTGCTAAATTCTGAAGAAGAGCAATAACCTCCAACTGAGCCCCTGAGAGGGGCTCAGTCACAGAAGAGAGGGGGGAAGGAGCATGGGGACCAGGGGAAATTTGGGTCTTACGAGCCACACGGCAGGAAATGACTGCCCCGGAACACTCCCAGGACGCGACAACCACCTCAGGGACAAACATCTTCTCCCCAAGGGGAAAAGAAAGCCTAATTAAGCAATGTATTCTTTAAAATGAAATTTGGAGATAAATTATAAATAGAAAGGGTGACAAAAAAGCATACACATTTTAACAATGGA